CTGTGTGTTTCGTTGCGAAAGCGAAAATACTTTGTTTGGCCTTCCAAAAGGTTAAGTTGTATTTACAACACTGTTCCAGAACAGTTCAAACCAAATATTCGTGTGTGTTCAATGCATTTTACGGTGGACTGTTTCCAGAACCTGTGAGAGTAGCCTACAATGCCGGCTGTTCTGACTGTAAGTATGTTTTCATATTTAAAGAATTTGCCACTGATGATTCAAACGCGAGTTTTTATAATGCATTATGCATTCATTATAATGCCTTAAGAATACCCTTATAATGTATTATAAATACGGGCTTCATAGAAAGTGTTACCAAATATTCTACTGCTGTGGAACTAGAAAAATTTTGTATTGAGACATGCCCATAATATTAGGTGAGGGCAGAGAGCATCGTATAATATTATAATACAAATCCTTTATCTTCGACTAAAAGAAACATGCCAACAGCTAAAAGCGTGCAAAAGCATCTTTTAGCATGCAAACATGCTAACAGATACGTGCCAACAGTAGTACCATTAATCACTTTTATCTGGTACTAACTGTAAATGTAAATGTAAAAAATGTAAAATTAAAATGAGTTAGTTTTTACTACATATATTATCAATTTTTACTATATATTATATATTGTTCAGCTTTGATACTTTAAGAACAATGTAAATGTGTCCAACTGGCCATGGTTTACCCTACTGGCTGAAATGTGAGCATTTTAAAGTTCTGTCTTATGTGTTTGTGTTTAGGTATCGAGCTCCAGAGGTGTTATTGAGGTCACCAGTGTATAGCTCACCATTAGACATCTGGGCGGTAGGCTGCATCATGGCTGAACTCTACACACTTCGACCTCTGTTTCCTGGCAACAGTGAGGTGGATGAGATCTTCAAGATCTGCCAGGTTCTTGGTACAGTAAAGAAGGTATGATCAAATATGAAGATGAACAGATTGTATCAGGGAATTTGGAGTGGTCAAGTGGTCAACAGCCCAAGGTGGTGTCTAATTAGCAGACTGGAAAAATTAGTTTGTGAGGCATAAGATTTTGGGCCTATAGAACCTGACTTCTAGGGCTGTGAAACACCAATAACTTCACGATATGGGTCAATTTTGAATTAATTGTTCTAGGTTAATTAGTAACAGTAATTGACAGTAATGCCACAGTTTTTCTGGATTTAGTCTGTCTCAGTTTGTTCTGTTCTTCATGTCATTCCAGTCAGACTGGATGATGATGAGATCAGATCTTTGTGTGGAGCACTGGCTGTAGTCTGTCTCCTTGTGCAAACAAAAATCTCACTGGATTATTACAACTAATGGCAAAATGAATGAATGGAAATATAAACTGATATTTCCTACTGACACACTACAGCAAAAGATAGAAATAGCTGACTTTAAACCATTTTGTAGCTGGTGAAAATACTAGTGTTACATACAAAAAAAGGTCAAAGTATGCACATCCAAAGCGCCTTGGCCAGGTGCAAGATCAAAGGGTACATCAAATGATACAAACAATATCTGCACACTGTTGTTCTCCCTTTATTTAGAAAAAGTTAAAAGTGGCAATGTTTCAGTCAAAGACCTTCGTCAGGCACACACACATACGTTCAAAGGCAACAGCTCAGTAAAGCCAAGAACACTCTACACGACTGTCAGGCTGATTATTAATGGAATTTGGTCTTAACGACGGATCGTGCCCAGTCGGACCGGGTCTGTTCCAGTTGGGCTCAGTCGCTGTTTGCAGTCGGTAGAAAAAGTCGCATAGTGTGTGGTGTCTAAAGATAATGATCTTAGAATTCAAGAACCAGTCTTTGCCACAAAGATTTTTTTTAAACATTTTAATATTTGCAACTCACACCACAGATTGCGGCTATGCAGTGGAGATGCTTTTACTGTTAAACATCATTCAGCATTCGTTTTGTAATTTTGTCAAATATTTTTTTCTGGATTATAAGAAAAATCTCAATTGTTTTTGTTCTGATTTATTTCTTGTCTTTCTTTTATTTCATAAGTTAACACTGCAAATTAAATGGTTTCATTTTTTCTGCAGTCAAAGAAATTATAGCCTAAAGTATGTCAGTGATTTCTCTCATTTTAAAGATTATCAGGAATTCTTTTATTTCGATCTGCAGTCAAATAAAATTTAAGAAAATTAGAATTAGCATATAGGCCTAACTACAGGCTAATTCCATTTTTTCTTAACTTTTAACTTCTTAAAATTTGTTATGAAGAATTTTAAATCAACTTCATAACAAATAGGCTAGGCTAACAAATTTTCTTTATAATGAATATAGGAACATAATGAATAGCCTAGCTATTCTTCAAAATAAGGTTTTCATTTAAAAAATAATAAATCACAAATACGACTAAATTAAATTATACTATAAATATATAATTATATATAATAGTTTTTTTTTATATAATAGTTTTTAATCCCTGATTTTAGACATGAGATAATTAATATATTATTGCTTGACTAAACGTTTAAAAATAGTGCTAGAAATTAGGGATGCAACGATTCACTCAACTCACGATTCGATTCGATTCACAATTTTGATTTCACGATTCGATTTGATTCACTAAAATTAGAGGCAACTACTGCATTTTAATCATGATCCAAACAAAGATGCTGCATACATGCAACATGAACAGTTTTTAATCTAAATTAGGTTGTATAATTTCGAAATTTGAAGCAAAAACAGAATGATTTGACTTCAGTTTTGTGAAACTATACATAAAAAATATCTGCATGAAAGATGAGCTGAATGAGACGCAGATTCATTCTCTGCTAGCAGGTGGCGCTTAAAGTGTTTCCTTGGTTTCCGCTGTAAACAAAGCAGCACTGCACTTATAAACTTTAATATGCATTATACAGAGGCAAGAAGAAAAGAAAAAATACCATCTAAACTTTTCTAAAGACAATAAGTTCGCCTCAGACATACATTCATATAAACTCCTACCCCTAATTGAATCGCGATTTGTTTGGCATCTCAACCGATTTGAATCGTCACATATTTGAATCGATTTTCAACCGGCTCGCGGTTAATCGTTACATCCCTACTAGAAATGTTATAATTAAGAGAATTAAACATAGGCTTAGGCAGCTTAGGCATCAATGAAATATGTACTCAAGCAATAACCCCATAAAGAAAGAGAAGCATTGGACTTAATGCACTTAATGCAAAAGACACATTGCTGTGACATTTATTAGAATCACCAACATAGCAGAAAAAAAACTAAAAAAAACGAATGTGTTCTGTTAAATTAAGCACAAAAGAAAAGTAAAACAAACCTTAATGTTTCAATAGGTAAAAGCACCGGCATTGTCCGCAGTTGTCTTTGGTAAAAAAATAAAAAATAAGGCTGCATTAACAACATTCACCTTTCAGTACAAAAAATATCAATTAGAAACATGAATTAAGATCAAGTTCTAAATTCATACCCTGAGGGGAAAGGGTGTTTAGCGTATAAATATATATAGCTTTTCTTTTTAATAAAATGCTGTTGACATCACCACCTCTCCTGGGCAATGTAACATGTTCAATTCCAGTATTCCTAACTGTGGAAAGGTTATGCCTTTTTAAGTTAAAATGTACTGCTACCAGAGATTTTTGATCATTTGTGCATATACTGCTTAGATGTTCTGCAATCCTAGTTTTTAAAGCACGTTGTGTCTTTCCTATATACAGACTAACCCACATGTTCATTTTATCATATAAATAAATTTTTTTAGGGCTGCACGATTAATAGAAATTAAATCGCAAAGGCGATAAATCGCAATTAAGCAGAAGCTGCAATTGTCATGCGTATCTTTCAGTGAAGCACGGTTCTGTGATCAGTAGTAAATCTCCATCCGAAGGCCAGAGGGCGCTCTCGCGCTGAAACTCCAAATACATCTCGCAGAAGAAACCCAGGAAATGCCTATAGAGGTTGCTGAATAAACAGAAGATTTAACTGCTTTCATTGATTCAATGTGACTAATGAACACATGACTACGACAATATATGGTTCATCTGAGTTCGTCTTATTATAATTTTTATTATAATAAAGTATATAATAATGCAATGCTAATCAACATAGCCGTTATCACTGCTTAGAATACTATGAAATATGTTGCGTGTAGGGGTGTGCCGGTCAGTGGTGTATAAAGTGCCTGAAAGCCATACTCAAGTAAAAGTACAGATATCTTACCAGAAAATGACTTTGGTTGAAGTTGAAGTCACCGTTTAGAATATTACTTCAGTAAAAGTCTTAAAGTATGTGATGTTTATTGTACTTAAGTACGAAAAGTATTTTTAAAATCTTAAACGTACTTAAGTATTGAAAGTACAAGTAAATGGAAAAGAAGCAAATTAATATATATTAAAAAATTTTCATAAACAGCTTGAGTAGCAAGATTGTGTTCAGTTTTAACTCTTTCTTCCATTTTGTATTTTTGGGTAAAAAGAAGAAGCACTTCATCCGGTACTTAGTGTCTTTCATTCCAACGTAAGAAAACATTTCTGGAATCTGCATCTGAAATGGCATTTAAGATCTTTTAAGCGATTTGTTTGGCATCTCAACCGATTTGAATCGTCACATATTTGAATCGATTTTCAACCGGCTCGCGGTTAATCGTTACATCCCTACTAGAAATGTTATAATTAAGAGAATTAAACATAGGCTTAGGCATTTGAAAAGACAATGAAATATGTACTCAAGCAATAACCCCATAAAGAAAGAGAAGCATTGGACTTAATGCAAAACATATTCAAGACACATTGCTGTGACATTTATTAGAATCACCAACATAGCAGAAAAAAAACTAAAAAAAACGAATGTGTTCTGTTAAATTAAGCACAAAAGAAAAGTAAAACAAACCTTAATGTTTCAATAGGTAAAAGCACCGGCATTGTCCGCAGTTGTCTTTGGTAAAAAAATAAAAAATAAGGCTGCATTAACAACATTCACCTTTCAGTACAAAAAATATCAATTAGAAACATGAATTAAGATCAAGTTCTAAATTCATACCCTGAGGGGAAAGGGTGTTTAGCGTATAAATATATATAGCTTTTCTTTTTAATAAAATGCTGTTGACATCACCACCTCTCCTGGGCAATGTAACATGTTCAATTCCAGTATTCCTAACTGTGGAAAGGTTATGCCTTTTTAAGTTAAAATGTACTGCTACCAGAGATTTTTGATCATTTGTGCATATACTGCTTAGATGTTCTGCAATCCTAGTTTTTAAAGCACGTTGTGTCTTTCCTATATACAGACTAACCCACATGTTCATTTTATCATATAAATAAATTTTTTTAGGGCTGCACGATTAATAGAAATTAAATCGCAAAGGCGATAAATCGCAATTAAGCAGAAGCTGCAATTGTCATGCGTATCTTTCAGTGAAGCACGGTTCTGTGATCAGTAGTAAATCTCCATCCGAAGGCCAGAGGGCGCTCTCGCGCTGAAACTCCAAATACATCTCGCAGAAGAAACCCAGGAAATGCCTATAGAGGTTGCTGAATAAACAGAAGATTTAACTGCTTTCATTGATTCAATGTGACTAATGAACACATGACTACGACAATATATGGTTCATCTGAGTTCGTCTTATTATAATTTTTATTATAATAAAGTATATAATAATGCAATGCTAATCAACATAGCCGTTATCACTGCTTAGAATACTATGAAATATGTTGCGTGTAGGGGTGTGCCGGTCAGTGGTGTATAAAGTGCCTGAAAGCCATACTCAAGTAAAAGTACAGATATCTTACCAGAAAATGACTTTGGTTGAAGTTGAAGTCACCGTTTAGAATATTACTTCAGTAAAAGTCTTAAAGTGTAGCAAGTGACTGTTAATGAGTGAGTCATAGAGATTCAACTGATTCATTCAAACGACTGATTCATTCAGGAACAAAGCATTTGACTGTGTTAATGAGTGA